TTTTTTCGTCATCGCCATACAAAACCGGCAGGTCCTCCTCCTCTCGTCTTCTTTTTCTTCTCTCCTTCTCCTCCTCCTCCTCTCGTCTTCTTTTTCTTCTCTCCACCTCCTCCTCCTCCTCTCGTCTTCTTTTTCTTCTCTCCTCCTCCTCCTCCTCTCCTCTTCTTTTTCTTCTCTCCTCCTCCTCCTCCTCCGCCTTTCTCCTCCTCCTCCTCCTCCTCCTCTCGTCGTCTTTTCTTCTCTCCTCCTCCACTTTCGTGTTCGCCTTCTCTCCGCCTCCTCGTCTTCCATCGTCCTTCTTTTTTTTCTTTTTTTTTTTCCCGTCATCTCCTCCTCCTCCTCCTCCTCCTCCTCCTGTCCTCCTACTCCGCCTCCTACTCGTCCTCGTCCTCCTTTCGCTTCTTTTCTCCTCCTCTTCCTCCTCCCGTCTTCTTCTCTCCTCCTCCTGTCTTCTTCTCTCCTCCTCCACCTCCACCTCCTCCTCCTCCTCCTCCTCCTCCTCCTCTCGTCTTCTTCTTCTCTCCTCCTCCACTTTCGTGTTCTCCTTCTCTCCGCCTCCTCATCCTCCATCGTCCTCTTTTTTATTATTATTTTTTTCCCGTCATCCGCACACACTACCTCCTCCTCCTCCTCCTCCTCCTCCTCTCGGCTTCCTGTCCTCCTACTCCGCCTCCTACTCCTCCTCCTCTCGTCTTCTTTTCTCCTCCTCCTCCTCCTCTCGTCTTCTTCTCTCCTCCTCCTCTCGGCTTCTTCTCTCCTCCTCCTCCTCTTCCTCCTTTCTCCTCCTCCTCCTCCTCCTCCTCCTCGTCCCAACTTCATCGGTTTTCTTTCACAAGTGTCGGAATAGTGCACTGAGAACTGCCTCGTCTTCTTCTTCTTCTCTCGTCGTCCTCTTGTTTTCTTCTTCTTTCCTCCTCTCGTCGTTCTTTTCTTCTCTCCTCCTCCTCCTCCTTTCGTCTAGTCCTCTCCTCCTCCTCCTCCTCTCGTCTTCTTCTTCTCTCCTCCTCCTCCTCCTCCTCCTCGTTCCGTCTTGTCCTTCTCTCCTCCTCTCCTCCTCCTCCTCCTCCTCCTCCTCCTCCTCCTCCTTTCATCATCTTCTTCTACCTTCTTTCTTGATCTTCCTCTTCTTCCTCCTTTCATTATCTTCTTCTTCCTCCAATGGCGGGCGGTGGCAGTGACAGGTCTGGAAGGACGAGGCAAAACGGAAGCAGGCAAAGGAAGTTGCAAGCACCTCCACTACACCGGCATCGGCAGTGACCTCCAAAGACCCCACACCGGCAATTGACCCTTCGCTGTTTGTTCCACAGGACAAGGCGAGGCAGGACAAGCTGCAGATTCCCAAAGACCCCACGCCGGCAATGGACCCTTTTACCCCCTTGTCAAACCCTCCCTCACCCC